AGTTGGCGAAATTGACAGTGGCCCCAACAGAGCATTTTGCGAACGGGTCGTGTTGTCCTTTTTGTTTTTCGATTAACCATGTTCGACACCTCATGAGGAACAGGCCACTTATTATTATGCCTTTTTTTTTTCGAAATGAAGCGGCCACAATCGCGTTTGTCGTCCAGAGTGATAACAGGAATGCGGAAAGCATTGATGGATTATTATTATGGAGATGGGTGATATAGAAACGGATTTTGCGCAAATCTTTTCGGGATCGAAATGACAAAGGCGAGCATATCATTAAATTATAAATAAATAAATAAATAAATCGAAAAATAACAATCACACCTAGCAGTTAATGCTTCATCAATCGCCTCATCGATAATGTTTGCAGGCGCTTTGCCGTGTGTACCTTGAAGCAGCATTCCAATACGCACAACAGTTCGCACGAATTTACTTATCTTCAATAGGTTGAGATTTTATCCAAATGGACCAGTATATAGAAACGACGGTATCGACTCCAGCGGACAACTGCATTATAAGCATATCTCGACAAGCCCACCCACCGTTTCAATAGCTGCTTTTGAAGGTGATTTGATTAGCAGCGTGCGATGAAGTGTTGTTGTTTGTTGCGTCCTGATCTTGCGCTTTTTTCCTTGTTTGGGGTTCTCGTCGGGCGACTCTTCTTCTTTGTTTGATTGCAAGGATAGCTTGGGAAAGTTCGTACTTGTCGGAGGTCGCTTCGTTGACGAAAACCATGAGTTTTGTAGTATGGGAAGTGGATAAGGTCACGGCAGAGTCGGTCACAATGGGTAACCACAATTTCTGAGACCATGCCGCGACTTTTCCGTTCCAACAAGGTAGGTTGGGGGGCTAAGGACCTCCTTTTGCTTGAAACCTTTTTTGGTGATGTGGTGTTAGCATTGAGGAGAGCTTATGTGTTTACGATTTTGATTTTCAAATAAGCAAAATATTGCAACATTGCAATGGTTAAAGAATTTGGGGGATAATGTCTTTAAATACGTTTATGGTATTTGAATGGCGGAATCGAAAACGCGCATAAAACATGCAATCTTATATGGAGTCTACGCTTGCATTGAATGAAGCTATTGTCTACGAAAACGGCTCTGAAGCTTTTATTACGAGCATACAACTCTCTCGGCAATACCGTCCGAGTGAGGAATGATTACGCCGACCATAAAGGCTCCAAAGATACAGTGCGCGAAAAAGTTTTTGGAATAAGATGCATAGGCTTTATTTCCATCCAAAATACGCGTCTAATCAAAACAGTCAACTAATACGTTTTGTGCGTTCTATTCTTCTGCATGTAATCCCGACAAGAAAACTCAGTCACATAGTGTCCGTAAAGTAGTAAACGTTACTTTAAAGTGCGTTTTTTACTTTCATGCATCAAGAACGGTGTCTACACAGTGGCAAGATGCTTTTAATCATTTGATTGCTGTTCGCGAAGTAAACTACTAAAATGGATATGTATTAATAGCTGCATATAAATACAATTCGGCAGTCTACTTTCAAGAATTCAATTGCTACATCAAAAGTTTGAAGATGGCGCACTTTACCCATAATATTAGGAAGACGGTATTGGAAATCGATCAAAGTTGACAATGCTGATCAAAAGACAAAGGACTTGGAAATTTTTGTTGTCAGGAAAGAATGCCTGACCTATTCGAGATGAGTTTGGTTTATGCCTTTCATTAGATGAAACCATAAAGTTGGTATTAATATGTAAACTAGATCGTTTATGCTCATCTAAAAAAACTTTACTGCTTCCTGTGAAAAGCATTATGTTCGTCAACTCTTTTGTATAACATAATCGCAGCTAATCGGTAATCTTTCTCTTCATCCATCATTACCTTCATCCTCCACTAACAGGCGGAATTATAGCAACCTCGTCACCTTCTTTTACGATATCATCTTTCCCGCAATACTCCTTATTCACGGCGAACATACATATGTCTAGTATGTTTTTCAATTTCTCATGACGAGCTTTCAACTTATCCTCAAGTTCGCATATGCGCATTTGTGGTAGGGGAAATGTGAGAGATTCTGAAGACAAGCCGGTTGCATCACAAGCTGATGCGAAGTAAAGGACTGTGATTGTGATCTGCGAATTGGAATTATATTTTTTTTTTTAGCATAGTTGTATTGCGTAAGTGATATCGTCAATTGAATGGGCTACCTTATTGTCGTCGCTCATCAATGATAGCTGTGTCACGGATATTTTGGTAAAATGCCAAATCATATAACCGATTATTAAGTTACACGTTATATATTCCACAAGAAACCTCGATATAGTCAAGTCAACGGGAACAGGGATTATTGTTCTGGCCCGTAGCGAAATAATCCGGCCCGATTCGCAATAGGCACATTGTCTAATATCACAACCAATAAGCGACATCTAATTAACATTGTTTATGTGATAATAGCGAAATAAAATGTGCTTATTTCGAACTGCTACGGGCCAGAACACTTATATAACAAACGTTATTTCTACTGACGAATCTAATACTGCTGAACGATTTATATGAAATGTACTGGTACTAAGTTGTTTAGCGTAGCAAGTGTCATACCGTTCAATTATGTACAGTCAACTCTAACTCTGTCTATACCGGCGTAAGTGGTTTGGCGGTTTTTGGCCGTTATGACGAGAGACCGGTATATGATTCAGCCGTTATAAGGGGTATAATCTTTTGGTGCAGCGAAATAAGGCGAAACCGGTATAAAAAAGGCCGATATAGATATAGTTGACTGTAGTAACCTCTTGATCCGGTTATAATTTATTAAAGCCATTCAAAAAACGAAGACGTAACACATACTTTTAATCAACACGTGTTATATCGAAGGAAAATTCAGAGGAATTCTTTACTATTGGCGCGAAATTCACTGTATCGAGACTTGACTATATCGAGGTTTGTATTTGTAGTACACTCTGTGGAGTTTGACAGTCTTTGTGTAGTGTAGAATTGGATATTGGGAAACATGCAGGAGAGAAATGGAACGAGGTACAGACGAAAGGATGGAACTGAATTGCATGAAAGATAAGTGGAGATGGACGAAAGGATGCCATTTTTAATTGGAGTATTTTCAGCTGGGTATTTGTTATTATTATAGCAAGGTATTACTAATTGCTTTGCTTACAGGGTTAGACGTTTTTTATTTATTTACTTCAAGGTTTGTTTATGAATCACACGATGGGTAACGGTGACAGGTATCACCCTATGGTGTGGCCGTTCTAAATATAAAGGCACTGGAAGACTTGTTAAAACGTCTCTTCTACGATTGCATCAGGGAAGTCAATCGAATCTCCCCTTTTGGTTTCATTCACAGAAACCGTAAAGTTATAACTGTGTTACCGCTTAAGAACAATCGTTTTATCGGCGTGCATAACAACGGAATGATCCCTTATCTTGCTCGACAAAGACTTATGCTTGATTCAAACGAAGAGGAAAATGACGAAAATGACGTATTTATGATTCATCGAATTATAAGCGAAACAGTCCGTAATCTCTAGTAAACCTGCTATCGAGCTGGTTTTTCTGGATAAGCAGATTAGTATTAGTATATACCTGCATTAAAGTTGAATGTTTAATTGCTTGTGACACATAATAATAATAATAAACCCAATTGTTAGGAAAACTTAATGAGCCCGTGTTCATCAGGACTGCATATATGGATTTACTTACTCGGGAAACTAAAACTTGAAAACGTCTATCAGAACAGATAAGAGTGGTTGATTGTCAATTCCGTGCTCCTTGTGTTAAAGTTTATTACTCAGCTGAATATCGTCATAGCGATCTGTCATTATCATTGAGAATTTACGTTGGCCAAGCAACAATCACGATATAACGGACACAAACACTAGTGGCTGATTTTTAATGCCAATTTATATTTAGTGCATGTTTATGAATAATAGACAAGCGGACTGAACAATCTTCGATATATATGGCAGATGTAGTGTTATTCAGTAGTGCCAACATGTCGCAACTTTTCTTCGTTGAAGAAGCCATTCTGATAGAATTTGATAGGACTGAGCAATAGTGTACAAACAGAAATAGAATGTTTCAACGACTCGAGTTAAGCATTAAAAATAGAACGCCCACATGTACTACTTGGTAATGGACAATGAATCTATTGGACTGCTACAGTGGTTCCACTACAGGAAATGCATATCAATGACATGGATAACTGTGTCATCTTTAAATCATTTCCACACAGGCGTCATAAACAAGTAATCAACAAGAAAAGACTTGTTATTGCCTTTAAGGAAAACATATACAAGGTTGATTGATTCACGTGGGAAAGTTTTAAAGCCTATAATGATAAAATGATGGTAACATTAAGATTGAATCAACCAAGAGTTGGTATCTTTACGACTTTATATGTAAGGATAAAGCTAAACGTCCTCTTACGGAACGGGACGCAAGAAGATAAAATGGGCTAAACCCGGATCTGCGGGCCGTCTTGCTATACCTTTTCGTGTACCAAATGATTGTTGCCAGTTTCCAAACAACAAGACAAGCCAACTTTAGCGTCGTCGAAAAACCGCATTCTCTTCACTGGTTGTTAATCCATTCACTCTGTGCAATCAATAACGCCAGGAGTTCTGACAAATAGAACCCCTTTTGTTTTTAAAATCATCGTTTTCCTCTGTCTTATTGATACATCCCTTTTTGTTGTGTATTGCCGATCTTTTTCAGTTTGACGTTGCGGCACATGAATGTGTAAAAATAGTAATGGATTGTTCCCGTCCGTGGATGAAAACGGATATCGTCGTAAGGGGGTTCTTGTTTATATTGTGTGTCCGTTGAATTAGCAATAATGGTATATTTTTGGGAATACATACAGTCCAGTTTAGTACTTTTGATTGTAATCGATTTACCATTTTAAGAAAACTACAAAAACAACTTGCCATCATACCACGGGAAAACATTTATTATAATTTATATATATAAAGTGTGCAAAATCAATATCCAAAATACTTGTCCCGTCTTTTAACCATGTATTCTTTGTGGAAAAAAGACACATCCAACAATAATACATCTACGAGGAATAAATGGATAAAGAGACTTGTGCTCTATGTTATACTTGCCACGCTTATATGGAATGTCACCAATTACGCACTTGTCGATTATCAAGTTGACGAGAGAATTGGCACCCCAGTAATAGTAAGTGTCATTAACCTATTTGTATCTTGTTAAATCAACTCATATTTAGATATACCTTTCTTGTCTACTACTAGTACACACAAACGATTACGCGCACAACCGTCTACATTCTACCAACAGAATCGCCCCCACCACTTGATAATGTCGACATCCCACCAAATGATCCTAATACTAATAATGATAACACTGACGTTCCGGAAATAGAAAGTGATTATGACAGCTCAGGTCCTGAACTATCTAAAGATGAACTCGTAAACTTGAAATACTGTAAAAGCACACAATGTAAATTTGTACTCGCCTACAAACACTCAGAACAAGAATCAAAGGCACAGATGCACTTCAGGTCGATCGTTGGTCTCGCTTTACTCCTCAATCGCACCATTGTCCTTCCAAATGTAAGTGGGTCTCGTATTGGTGCATGCCGATCACACCCGTTCAATTATTATTACGACATAGATGGACTTCGCGAACAGTTTCCTCAGCTAAACTTTATATACCTAGCCGACTTTAAAAAGTGGACTACAGAGAGAGAAACAGCACCCACTATGAAATTTGTTGAAATTATAAGGGAACGAATTATTAAGAAAAATTGGGTATCAAATGGGTTTACCGATGGGGAGAAGCTTCGAAAAATCTCTTGTCTCGGTGACTGCCATCCATTAATGATTCCCGGTAATGTTTCAACTACCAGGATTGGGTTGTACAATGGTTGGGCAAGAACGCCCGAATTAGCAGAAAGGGGACATTCACTTATACTCAATAATACACAAACAGTATCTGAAGAATTCCTTCTTATCAATGCTCACTCCTTTGGATTGCTATTCCCCACAGAGGCTAGTAAGAAACCATTGAAATATTCTTCTCGTATAGAAGGACAAGCCAAATCACTAGCAACGCATCTACAACCATATCTAGCAATCCATTGGAGAATGGAAACCGCCGCGGCTGAGAACATGCCCGAATGTGCAGAAAAATTAGTTGCGTTCGTTGAAAATTTCAAAAAAAAGCATTCTATAGAAAACGTCTATTTGTCGACCGACTATCCACTGACTGGAAAGCGGTCACAATCAAGTACATTTCATAAAGTTACTTCATACCATCATAGAGCGATACAATATGTTAATAAGACTTTACACCCGCATACATGGATTACATTAGGAGCACTTGGTGGCGCCCATGAACATGAGAATGAACTTTCTGGTGCTGGTGTGAGTGGAATATTAGACAAGATAGTATGTACTTATTCTAATTGGTTTATCAGAGCTCCGCTTGCCTGTAGGAAGAAAGGAAGTTCGTGGACTTCGATGGTTCTCCATAAACGAATTGGATTGAGGGAGAGTGGGGCACAGGGGATTAAAAATACTATGGACGAGTGGGCATGGAAATAGATAAATGGTCGAGAGAAAATAAGCGTACCCGGTGTACATAGTGTAGTAACATGTAATTTTGAATAGCCATTAATAAAATACACAATAACAATAAGCCCAGATTATTTCAAAAAAGTACTCGTCCGACGTATACTTGCCAAAAAGGTGAGTTATCATCGTCTCTAACAACAAACGTTAAAGGGTGAAAACAATAATCCCAAATAGGATGGTAATTTAGATGAAATATAATAAATTTCGTGAAGTCATTCGAAAGCGCTTGTACGTAATTGCGCTCACCGTGGCATTTCAAATTATTACCAATATGAGCAACAACTGTCGTCTCTTGACATATATAACGTGCGGGATCCCAGTAGACATCAACTGGCATTGAGTAATTATCGCGTTACGACGCTTAGTAAGATGTCGGTAAGAACAACTTCCATCTTAATTATGTCTCAAATTTTAAGTTATTTGTAAACAAATATCAGATAATAAAAATAATTTTCAATCTCTTCTAACATCCCCTTAACTGAAAGTCAATATGGTGAAATTATTAGACTTTACAAAATAATATATAAAAAATTAGCAGACTGCTCAAAGTTCATAGAACAACTGACTCTCATACTAGTAAAAGTACAATCTGATCCAATTTAATCTGAAATTGTCAACTAATATGGAGCAGAAAAGTGAACATTTGATCATGTGAGCTAAAAATGGCTGATGTGGCTGGAAAATCAACTAATTTAGCTGATGACACTTTGGTGAGGCTTTGCTCAATTTATAATCGTGGCTCATGCAAACTAAATTTTGACCTATTACTATGTTGTAAGCAAGCGACTAGCATTTGTGTATAAAAGCAAGATGAATTCATCATTCACCAAAACAAAAAAAACACTTGCATCAACGTGTTTTCAAACTGCGCCAAAAAGACATTTTGAACTATCCAAAAGCTTTTATTTAATAAAGATGGTTCATTATATCGAGTTCTGACAACCCAGACAAGAATGATAATCGCGTTTCTATTTAGTATGTCCAGGAATCATAAAATTTAATTCAATACTTTCATAATAACCACAAATTACTAATACTAAATACAAATAAAATCAAATAGTGGTATTATTTTTATTCTGGCCACCAGCATTATCACAAGTAATTTTCAAATGCTTTTCTCCTTTATTCAATTTTTTAATGCCATCAAAAATTAAACTGAGTGTGCCATTGGGGCCTTTGCCAATTATTTCATTTTCATCCAAAACATAATTAAGTTGTTCTCTGGTTGCTTCATTTTGAATACCAAATAAATGCACTTTGTGACAACTAAAATAATAAATTTTACCAACCTGCTGATCTGAATGTGGCACATGAACATTTTGTGCTCAATCATAACTGTAATGAGCAGTAGTAGTAGTATCAATGCTACAATATTGTGCTTTGCCCTGTATATAATTTTGATCAATCAGTCTTCTGCCAGTTTTAGTTTGGTATTTTTATTGTAATAATTTCTTTCTATTTTGGCTTTAGCCAAATAATCTTTAAATTTTTTTAATAAGTCTTTAGCTGCTTCCTCTTGATGAGCATTGTATTGCAAACCATTGCAAAAATGCTGACAAGTATCACATAAATTAGTTCTTGGATTCATAATTTGGATTTCTGGTGTTAATTGGTGCCACAACTTTCTAAAAGCATTATATTTCAAAAATTTCAAACGGCTATCTTCTTCCAAGCCTGCCAAAAAGCTTTTATAAACAGATTTGTAAGTTGTATCTACTGGTAAAAAAATAACTGATTGAGTTATTCTATTGACACTTCTTCCTGGACTTGAAGCCATGAATTTCAGCATAATTTCAAGATAATTTCTCACAGCAGTGGCAACATTGTGATCAATCACCATTTTGGTTTTTCATTGAGGCATTCTTTTGATATTGCCATGAAGTCTTGAAATTAAACCAATGGTCATTAAATGGCTTCTGATATTTTCAAAGTATGTTCTGCCAATACCCAACACATTAAAATAAGTTTCTTGGCAGAGAGGTATATCGTGATTTCAACAATAGAAAGTTTTTTTGTTAGATCTGATTTTCTTTTTCAGATGTCTGCTGGTGCTTATTGATCCACCATCCATTGCTTTAATTTGTGCCATTAAGAAACTATCTTGCTCTGGTTTGGACAGTGCTTGAAAGGCTTCTCTTAGTTCAGCAAAGCTTTTCTTTGGAACTTTGGTTGAGCAACCACAATGACAGCCTCTTTCCAAGAAATTAATTGCTTGTTCATATTCAGTGGAACCACCACTTTTACTATTTTTCATATACATATAACCCTATATATAAATTTTAACAGTTTGTGAGTTCTCAGTTTTTTATTTCATCCTTTTACTAAATGCATCACATAGAGTTGAAGCACACAGCCTATCTCAACACTTAAATGCAAGCATTATATTTTCTAACATGACTTCTCTAATTTCAACAAACTAGTACATAGCATAATGCAAGAAACCCATTAGTTGTGCTTCATTGAAAATACTTGAAAACAGAATGAAAATGACAATACCTTCAAAGCTACAAAATATTGTGATACTCATTTGATGTTGGCATCAATTCTGTAGAACGCACAAGAACATGGTCACCTGCAATTGCCATAATAACATGTCCTTGCAGATCATCTGTTCCTTCCTTGACCTTGATTCTGCTGTCTGGCACTCCAGAATCATAGAATGTCTCTGGCTTGCCCTTTGCCACTATATATGTATGTCTTGAGTTGTTTCACAGCATCTTCCATAACAGCACCTACAGTTGTCAACACTGGTTTCTTCAGATCCTTTGAATAATACATGTACTTTCTGGCAAGTAGATGTGGTTCATCTTCCTTGTGAATCTTGTCTTTAAAATTTTCCACTTGCTTGTAGATATATGGCCTCTTCCAGTCATCAACAACTAGCCAAAGCTCTGGCACACATGTGGTTGGCTTATCTAAAAGCAGTTCAACAATGCCCTGAAGCACAATGTCAAGACTTACGATTAGCATGACGTATTCCTCGATGAGTTATACGAACATTTCCAAACCGCAGCATTCTTGTTTCACAGCCGTTAGAGAATGTGCAACCAAGAAATGAAACAGATTTCGATATATCGGGTTGACAGATGAAAATGAGACAGATTTCACCTGATGTGGACTGAATTGTTTTATTTAATTTAATCCTCATGTATTTATTAGCTTTAGAATATAGAACAGCGCAGAACTCGAAATAGATATATAAGCAGTCGTAATTTCCTTAGCAAACAGTGTCTTCGGTTGAATAGATTCGATCTTGAATCTAAGAATTGTTATAACATAGTAAATCAAATAAACATATTATATTTATA